TTTTGATTATAAAAACACAAAAAAAATAAACGCCCCGCAGAGTTTGGTAAATTACTAAGAAATTCAAATTTCAAAGAAAAATTTGTGGAATTTTTAATTGAAGATTGGACTAGAGATGAATTCGTAACGTTAGTATCAGGAAAAATTGTTAAACTCAATTACGATCAGTGCTATGTTTACGAGGTATCCGGCGAAAATAAAATAAACAGAGTTATTGATTATAACCTTTCTTGTTATCATGAAGAAGCAGATACTAAAATTGTTTACCATATTTGTCAATTTAACACCAATTATCGTGTGCAAGTGCATTGTACGGATTCAGATATACCTGTAATTATGTTGGCAAATTTCAAATATCTGAAAAACAAAATTGAAATTATCATGAATTTAAGTACTGGTAGAAAAAAATTGATTCTTAATATTAATGAAATTTTTGCCAAACTTGGAGAGCAGTTATCATGTTCTCTTGCTATATGTCATATTTTTACGGGAAATGATTTTAATCCTGCGTTCTACCGCAAGGGAAAAAAAAAGCCTTTTAATATTTTGAAGAAAAATGCAAAATTTCAAACTGCTTTTATACAGCTTTTACGCAATGAACATGCCGAATTGACAACATCATCGGATACATTTAAATTAATTGAAGAATATATCTGTACAATTTATTCATTAAAAACTAAAAATGATATTAATAAAGGACGATATGAATTATTTGAGAAAAGCTACAAATGCAAAAATGACAATGAGCTAATTTTGAAAAAAAAAATTGTTGGATACGATCCCTCCAGTTTGCCACCGACGAAAGAGGAACTGTTGCAGCAAATTAAGCGGACTCAGTATATTTGTAGCGTTTGGTGTAATGCACACATGCGAAGTCCCACTAATAAAAAACCAGAAAATTTTGGATGGACAATAATTGATGACAAGTACGAGTACTATTGGTTCGATGGTCCTCAAAGTCCATCCTTTCAAGAAGCTTCTGCTGAATTAGGTAACCTATAAACACAAATTATATTATTTATTGATCATTCTGTAATTGACTAATTTCCTTATTATTCGTTACAGATTCTGATTTCATAAATGACCAAACTGAAACTGTCGAAGATGAAGATACCGATAATGATCTTAGCAGCGAAGAAGATGAAGAATCAATGAATGAGACTGATGATGATGATTAATTATTATGTACATACATATTCGAATATACGTAGTATTTATTTAATTTATTTCCTATATTATTTAAAAAAAAGTGATAAAAAATTCCTTAAAATAAAAACAATATTTTTCAATAACCATATTTGTTCCAAATAAAGAAAATAAAATAAGAATAATTGTCTTTATTGTGTTCATTATACATTGCGCAATTTTGAGACCATTGGGATATCCGGAAAAAACCGAAATTCGCCCAAAATGATTTAATTTTTTCCTGGACCTCTTTAAACAGACATATCAAAATAAATGGCACTTCATCATTGCCACTTTTTCTCCTCTACAAGATGCCACCACCATCAAATTTAAAATCTGACGTATCGTCTTCGGGCCACCATCATCAACTTTATTTTTTTAAATACGGATCCTTATTTTTTGTTGTAGATTTTATAGGCTTCTGATGTCTCAAACACAATGACGTATTGCACTTATTCAAAAAAATTATAGTATTGGCACTTTCCATAAGAACTAAATGTGTTAGAGAGAGACAGAGAAGAGAATTTTGATAGGACTAAAAAGTAAAAATAGTTATTTATTACGCTCGCTGTGTTGTCTCCCTCCGCTTCGTGTCGGGAGACAAACCACACCTCGCGCTAAAATCTAGTACTTTTTTCCCATGTATAATACACTACTTTTTTCTGTGACGGGAAAATCTCAACATTTTCCATATATAGGTACATTATTCTCTTTGGGAAAAAAATTTGACTGGTACCTGTTACTTTTTTCCCTCGGGAAAAAAATTGACCGATACCTGTTGCTTTTTTCCCGTGGGAAAAAAAATCACTTTTTTCCCATGGGAGAAAAAGTGGCATTTTTGCACCTGTCAACAGGTAGAAAAAGTCTACTTTTTGCCCGTCACAGAAAAAAAATATTTTTCCGAATAAATGCGATACATCATAGGTTTTGGGACCTCAGAAGCTCTTAAAAACTGGAATAAAAAATCCAGGGTCGTATTTAAAATAATAAAGTCGATGATGGTGGCCCAAAGACGAAACGTCAGATTTTAAATTTGATAATGACATCTTGTAGAGGAGAAAAAGTGGCAACAATGAAATGCCATTTATCTTGAAATAACTCTTCAAATAAGGTCAGGAAAAAATAAAATCATTTTGGGAAAATTTCGATTTATTCCGGATATCTCCGGTAGTACTCGGAATTTTCAAAACATCAAAGCGCCATTTCAATGAGCACAAAATTGCGCAACTTTTTTCTAATTTAGGCGACGTCGTATCTCTTTCCGTTTCCCAGATCCTCATACTGGCCCTGATCTTGGACATATTGTATACATACAATATGTATACAATATTCGATTCAAGTTAGCTTTAAAAAATTTCAAGTATACAATATTCAATCAATAACCATTTCTAATACGAAAATCGCAACAAACAGGGACAAAGAACAGACTAATGTAGTCAACATTATATACATATGATTATAAAGCATATACTTCATATTAATATAAATTCTCATCGAATACGTTTTTCAACGGTTACATACTTTTTTGTCGGACTAGCGATAACTACCTTCTTTTTTGTAGGACATTGATTAATTTCGGTAGAAAATAGGTTAATCTATCATGTGGATTTTGTGACCTACAGTTATTAATGAAAAAAATATTACCGTGAAGTCGACAACTTTTGAGTGTAGGACTGGAAAAAGTTACCTCTTTATTTGTAGGACAGTGTGACCATTCAATTGTAGTAATATTTATTAAGCTACAGTAAAAAAATCAGCTGGTTATTAATCATTTTTTTGGTAACGTAATTGCTACATGTTTGAGGGGGGGGACATCCTAGACCAAACCCTTTATTTTGTCGGACAAATGTTGTTTCAAATTATTCATAAAATTATCTCAACATTTAGCTGAAAAACTAACTGTTATTAATTAAATTTTCATAGTCACCAAATCGACATGTTTTACACCTGCGCAGTATGTTAGCTACCTGTTTTCGCAATTTTCGAAGAGAAAAAAGTTGGGCGTCTCGGTGAAATGAAGCTGCATTGAAAAAACTAGCTTGTTATTAATGATTTGGAAAAAAGGTTCTCGACCCCCGGACTACTCTAGATTGGTTAATGAACATCATTTAGAGATTTTTGGTTTATCTTTAAATCAGTTTAAAGGACAATTTAATAGGATTACTGTGTAGTGAACAGAATTATGATATTTTAGGTCTAATTCTAGGAAGTTTTGTAAGCTGAATTAACTTATATTGCTTAGAAATCTACAATCATAACTATAAAATTCTTTGTTAATTGTAACTATTAATGGGGTTTTCCCGTCATTGAATAAATAAATAAATAAATAAATAAAACCTTTATACTCAGCAATTTGCTTGGGAGTGCGGTCAAAACTGACTGCAACCTGCTTGTATGCTTCATTACTTTTTAAACGTTTTGAACCCTGGATTACTGTAAGCGCATCTTGCTGTGTAGAGAAGACGACCTTAATTGGTCTTGGCCGTTCATTGTTAATACGTCCCAGTCGCAAAACCTTTGTGATGGTAACAGGATTATCTGGGCATGTCACATTGACTATGTCTTTCACAATGCCCAAATCAAGCTCAGAGCGTTCGCCTGTTTCCTGGGATTGTGACTCCTTTTGTCCAAAAATCATAACATTTCTCAGCCTAGCCTGTCGATCGTTCAATTCTGAGACAACACCCTCCAAGTTATCAGAAGGCATCACTGATACCTGGTGACCCTTGAGAGAGGCCACATCAGATTCAAGCTTGCTAACCTTGGTATTAACCGTGCGTTCGTTATTTTGGTCTGAGTTCTCCGAGCTTGACTTTACCGTTCGTTTATTCAAAAAGTGTACTCGGTGTATCCTCATTCGCGTTCGTTTATTAAAATTTCTGGCACTTTTATACAGCGTTCAACTGCTCTGCTCGCTCGCTGGTCACGTGGTTACGGCTCCGCTCTGCACGCTCTGCTCTTCGAGCAAAATACCGAACGCAAGGTAAGTAAGGTATTTTCATCCTTCAGACTCATATTTTCGGCAACCAACAAGTCAAGTCTTTGCTGAATCGAGCAGAGTTTAACATCAACCTCCTGACGAAATGGCGTAAAATATTTGCTAAAAAGAGCTTCCAAATTTTTGATATTGACGGTTCCATTCTCATCGCCGAGATCAACACATGCGTCATCATCGCCCTCTACAACAGATGTTTCCGTTACGCAGAGCTGACAATGCCATTGAAGTTTTTTTTTTTTTTATCCCTACTGCATACCTATTAAATTCCTCATTGGAGAGGCCACAACACTTTTTGTGGACCCATTCCAGACATGTGAAACATTTTATAGACGCGGCAGTACGTACTCGCTACATGACTATAAACACAATGAATGGGATCATAATATGATGAGAAAATGGAATGCAACAATTTGCATGTCACCTCAAGGAGAAGAAAACAGTAGGTATAACTTTATAAGGGAAAATGATTTTGAAGTCTTATCTTAAACCAAATGAAAAGAACAACTCGTGTACAATTTTTGGGGATGCAAGATTGGTAACAGAAATTGTATCCTAGGTGGTTGAAGATATAGGTATTCAACTTTATTTTGATTGCCAAAACTGTACTGTGGAAATATAAACTATGAAACAAAACTTTGGTGATTTAGTTTTCTGAATGTAGAGAGGTGAACGAAGTCGCAGTTTACTACTTAAAACTGACGACACAGAGATCTCCCAAATTAATTTTGGAAAACAACACTTATCCGGCATTAATTGCTTCAAATGCCAAACAAAATCTGGCGTTTTCCTGTAATCGCTAAATTTACAATAAACTTACCTTGTTCGTTGAGTGTTAGGAGGCGTCGAAGAATTAGCAAGGGAAGTGGCCTTGCTGAAGAAATCTTGCATCAGCGAGGGTGATAAAGACAAATCCTCTTGTCTAGTCTTAGATCGGCTACTGGCCCCACTAGCTGATGATCTCTTAGTAGCTCTTTTGCGTTTCAGGACGTCCCCTAAACGCGTAGTGGGACTGGGAGGTCTAACCTCACTGTCCTGAAGACGTTGAGCGTTCGGAGTGGAACTGAAAAGATCGATAGAGGCTAGAGCAGGCAACGTTGCTGATCCGTTTGCTGTCATTTGCACAGTAGTGCTGCTGCTGGACGTGCCAGGCTGCTGAGCGTCGACGCTGGACGAAAATGAAGTCGAACTGCAACTCGCCGATTTCGGTGGGCTAACGCCTAAAGGAACTTCAGGATCCGCCAGTCTGTTAACTTGATGCAGGACACCTTCTCTCCTAAAATGAACTCCAAACTCCTCAGGAAGCTTGTTCATAAGAATTTCGGCCATTTGAAGGGCGCCGACTACGATTCTTAGGTCACTAGAAGCCATCATCCCAGCAATGTGACTGCTAACTACTTGATTCTTAAGAACATCTTTGAGAAGTTCCGAATTGGCGTAATAGACCATCCTGAGAAGGGCTTTGAGGCACTTGCAACGCACTGCTGGTCCAGCGCTTGAAGAATATACTTCATATAACACAGAAAATAGGGACCTGGAACATATTAATTTTGTCATAATTATGAACATATTGAGTTAGAGGATCACTTACCTGATAAAAGCAGCAGCTAAACCGCGCTCCTCTCTCAAACAAGCCACTCTAGCGTCTCGACTGGCCGAACTTGGCCTACTAGTCGATTGAGCTGGTTCAGAAGTGGCTGATTTATTACTAGTCGGAGTGCATAGCCTTTGTACTGGCCTAGATGTGCCAGTATCTTCATTAATTTGCTGCATTGAGTGGAAATCAATTGTATATATCCTACCTAAAAGGGTACAAAAAAAATTTAAAATGTAAAGTGCTATTTAAGCTTTGTTTTGTTTAGCACAGTTTATTTTTGAAATTTTTGATAGCCGAGCCATTGTCATTTTGTTGATTGATAAACTGTGCAACTGTTTTGAACAAAATATGTAATTTATTTATATTCACTCACCTAACGTATTTAAGCTAACTTCATCGTCAGTGTTTTGGTGCGCAGCTTCAATAATTCTACTGTCGACTGCGCCGTACGAATGCCACCAACCTCTGTCGTCGCGCCATTGCCAGATTGGTTGGTCTTTAGCAATGAGGGTTGGCTTTTCCAGCAAAGTATCCACTGAGAAAATGCCATCTGAACAAAAAATCAAATAAACATTTTGCGTGACTGCAATAGGGGAAACTTACCAGTAGGCAATTTGGGCATAAGCTCCCCGATTAAACAAGTAATTTCAAACAACTCCTGTGGCTGCCTCTGGGTTAGTTCGACGTTGTCTTGATTTATTTCAGCCAATCCGGTGAGTAAATAGAGAAGCGTTTCCGCTATGCTCTGTTTGAGAAGAGTCAAAGCTAAATCGGGACAATTGGCGCACATCACGGAAAGCATTCTTAAAACTGAAAATAATTTTCATTAACTTGAAATAATTTTGTAGCAATTTGTCTGCAAAATCGTACACAGTCAATTGAAGCTTCACAAAAGACCACACCTTTTTAGCAATCATCTTGGCATAAGCCAAGGAATAGTTTTTTATTTAGGCCCTTACCAAAGGAAAAAATATCATCAAACAATATATTCCTTTAATGTTGGCCACTTTATGGTTAAATACAAACTCGCAAGAACATTTACCTGTTATGAAAGTTCCAGTGCTAATTATAGGTGGAGTAACTACAAGCAGTTGTTGCAAATTAGTTAACAATTCCGGGCTGGCAATTTCTTGCAGTCTGGGTGGCTCCAGTTGATAACTGTCCACGAGACGTGAAAAAGCTAAGCAGACACTTTCAACGCACTTTTTGTCTTGCTGAGTGAGTCTAGAGGCGAGTAGTGCCAACGAATCCTTTGTTGCGGAAAAAATAATTGTTAAGTAAATAAAGCGTGAACCAAATTACTAGTTACCTGGACATATTGAAATTCTTCTGATGTGAGATTGAGGCAACAGTTAGCAGTGACAGAAAAAGCATTACGTTGGGCATTGATAGGGAAAAAGTCCAAATAAGTTAGGCAAGCAGATACTCCACGCTGAAATAAATATAGACAATTCATTTCAATTGATTCAAATAAAATAAAACTTACTGCTTGTAAAATTGACTTTGAATGTCTTCGTGATAACATATCAAGCGCTGTAAGTGATTGTTCAGCAACGTCCATGCACTGGATAACCTGAAGTTTTTCTAAAAATACAGGAACAGCATCCACCACTACGGCAGACGATCTGGGAAGCGCTTCCATCATGTAAGTCAAAGCACGACAAGCGTGATTCATCTAGAAAAAAAACTTTGTTAATATCGGCTACATTGATCGGCTACCAAGGGTGGCACTGTTACTTACAATATCAAAATTGTGCTCCATCTGTAAAAGAGTTATAAGAGCAGGCACGACTTGCTTAACGGGAAAACCAGTTAAAATTTCCTCATTTCCCATAACTAGTACTTGGCACATTTCAATTACTGCTTGCAGCTGTTGGCCTTCATCTCCGGCCGCTTGCAAACCAGGAATGAGAGCTTGCGCTCTGGCAACAGCTAGAAAAAAAATCTCAATCTCAATCATTAATCCCGTTACAAGATATTAATTCTTACAGCTGTTCGAGCCCATACTCCTGTGCAAGATGTGCTGCATTCTGGGACCTAAGGCGCCAAACAGATGAGGCGGCAGGCCTCTCGCCTCTAAAAGGGCCTGCAGCCGCCCCACCTCGCTGTCGTCGCTCTCAGAATCGGCACCCGGACCGGATGGGCCGCCGCCGCTAGCCGGCACCGCTTGCGCGGCTTCTTGAGGTGAAGGTGGCTCATCTGAAGCTGGAATAAATTAATTTTTTTCAATAATTTCATAAACTTATTCAAAATATTAGTCTGACCGAGGATGAAAGCGTTTAGAGATTGTATAAATGCCACAAAATCTGCCGATGTGCTTCGGTTCATGCTGATAAATTTACAATTTTGAAATGTTTAATAGATATGACAATGTCGATTTGCGGTACCAGCAACTTCTTCGACATTTTGACATTAGAAAGTCAAGTTTGGCTAATATATTGTTTCTGACAGTTTGGAGTAAATAATTAACTGACATTGACGTGTCTCGCAGAAATAGAAAAAGAGAGCTTAAGCCGGCTACACATGGTCCTGTCAGTTCGAACTGAACAGTTAGCCTGAAGGCCGGTCGCTGGGGAGACTGAAACCTGAAATATTATTCGGTCTCAATCATCATGTAAAGTTTGTTTCACCAGGGTTTGTACTTGCCACCAGCATTTGTCTTCCTTGTTTAACAAATAAAAATTGACTGAAACAAATCAATGACGTCAAAAACGTTTGTCGGTTCTTAAACCAAACGTCATTCATTTTAATTTGTCAAAAAAATTGAATGTGTCATATGAATTAATCTACGACAACCCTTTTTTGTCAAGTTTCAAGGTCAAGTATGAACCCTGGTGAAACGAACTTTAGTTTAATTTTGTTTGAGAACAGAGTAGACTTCGTATAAGAAGGATCGATTTCCTTCTACCAATGGACCTCTTGCATGAATTTTTTTATTTGCTTATGGGAAAGAGGAATCAAAATAAAGCTCAACTGTATTTTTTTCAGATTTTTTTCGGACTTGCAAAGGCTTTAAATTTCGATTTGAAGTTCAAATTTCTTGGTGACGTCACGGCACCAAATTTTTGATTGGTCAATTTTATTCAGTGTTGCCCAGATGTCAAGAATTTCATGTAAACTTTTCCTGGGGGCGACAACTAAATCGATATATCAAATTCAGATTTGTAAGTATCGGATATGGAATCGATTCTCATCCCTATGGGAAACTTAACCCAACTTTTCAATTGATTATTCATTATTTATTTTTATTTTTTTATTATTAACTTCTCCAAAAACAGAAGGCAGAGAAGGCACACAAACCATCAAGAAACAAACAATAAACCCGAGCATAAAGTCTCATTTACACGGTGCAAGTAGCTTGAGCAAGTACTAACGCCAGTAGCTAAATTATCTTTGTTTTCATGCAAGTGAGTGTCTACATGCATTTTACTGATTTCAAATCGAATTTAGTGATTAGTGCAAATAGAGGTGAAATGGCAGCAAGTACAGTTGACCGAAAAGAAATTCAAAAATGCATTTTGAGTGTTTGTGGAGAATTATCAGAAATTTTATTGAAAGAAATTGAAAAAGAAAAACGTTGTTGGGTTCGACCATGGATATCTCGTAGAGAAACACATGGTGCATCTTCCAATTTATTGGTTGAACTGGCTAAGGAAGATCCAGAAGAATATCGAAATTGTATGCGGATGACAAATGAACAATTCAATAAGTTACTTTTCAAAATAAAACCCATGATTAGCACACAACTTTAGCGTCCAACGAGACGACATTGCAAAGGAAATTAATAGGTGCAACACAATACTCAAAATATTTGAATTCAAACCCTATTAATGTACTTCACTAAACACTAAATACAAATCCTGTCTACACGCGTCCAGTCCACGAAAGTCAGTAAAATAAATGAGAGTGGGGAAAGCCACTTGCTAAATAGAACCTGCTTCTATTCACTTGACTAAGGAGTTTACTTGCTCAAGTACTAAATTAAGGTGTTTACACGATTCATGTTACTAAATTTTAGTTACTGGCGTTAGTACTTGCTCAAGCTACTTGCACCGTGTAAATGAGGCTTAAGGCCATTATGTCGTTCATAATTAAATACCTTAGGTACTCATTTACTAAAATCCGTTTTTTTTTTTAAGATAAAAGTCAAAATGACATTATGTTGGCAATACAATGTAAAATTGTCAATGCTTCAAATTTTTTATGTAGAAAAGGCTTGTGTTGCCAACAAAGTTACTAAATTTTTGACTTGGGGAATTATCTTTAAAAAAAAACAGACTTTAGTGTGTGCTTCTAAATTTTAGAGGTTTCTACCTAGCAAGCATATAAGGAAATCATTATTTGTGGAAGGTTGCTCTACTCTACTCCACCTGCATTTTACTAATACCTATCTACCAAGTACCTAAAGTCTGTTTTTTTTTAAAGATATCTAATTCCCCAAGTCAAAAATTTAGTAACTACCTATGTTGGCAACATAAGCCTTTTCTACATAAAAAATTTGACAATTTTTCATTGTATTTCCAACATAATGTCATTTTGACTTTAATAAAAAAACAAACTTCACCCTTCATGTGAATTTTTTTCCGAAAGCATTGGCATTATCTCAAGTCCTCCTGGCCAGTTCCTGGAATCGGTTTTTACAAACTCTTCCTTCCATCGCACAAACAAAATAAACAATAATTACCTAACTATTAAAATTATTATTATTTTTCTTAGTGGTTTATGGGAAATAAAACAGGAGTATAATTTTTATGTGTCTGTATTCCATAGCTTCCAGTTTCCCTAAAGACCTTTTCAAATTTTCCCAGGCAAAAACATCATTTTTTTTTCTTCAAATTACACTGCCTCCAGCCCCAGCCTGCTGTTTTTTGTTGTTAATTATTGTTTATTTTGTGATTATAAGTAAATTGGCCAGCCAGGGGTCACTGACCTACGGTAAAGTCGGTAAACAAAAATCGCTTTTATCGTTTTCGTACTCTATGCTGTGCCGGATTAGTGCAGATATCGATTTCTTTGTTTAATTCGCATTTATAGACAAGGAACGAAAATTGTCGATACTAGTCGATACTTCAATTAATAGATGTCGTTCTCCTCAAGTTTCAAGGCGAAGGTAGAGCTGTATACCAAAGTCGATACGCAAAGCGATTTTGATAAATATATGCCTCCTTTTTTGTCCGATGTGTTCAAAAAAAAAAAAAAAAATATTCGTTTGGAACATGGAAATTTGGCAAACCTTAGACAAACAGTGATTTTTGATTCGTGCAAAATTATACCGCAAAATTCAAATAATCTGATTTTTTTTCTTTCAATTTTTGACTCCGAGATTTTTTAAAAAATTAACCAACCATACTTTTATGTAGTACATCAAATACACTTTCGTTACAGATAAATTATATACCTAATTTTAATTGAGTGCAAGAGGTCCATTTCAAATACGCCGCTTTTTCTTGCCACGGTCCGTGAAAGGTTTTTCGATTTGACTTGTCAGAGACACGACTCGCTATGATAAATCGCGATAAATTTCGATTCCATTTCGTGCGACTTGACGTAACAAGCTCATTATACTCACTACTGAACGACTGAACTATCTGAACTGACGGTCCGACAGTCGACCGTGCTATACACACGTCCAGACTTGCCTTTGAGTACGTCAGGCTGGCCGGATGAACGAACATAAAGTGCGTTTTTTTTTTAAGGTAAAACTAACATTAGGTTGGCAATACAATGTAAAATTGTCAATGCTTTCAATTTTTTCATGTAGGAAAGGCTTGTGTTGCCAACATAGTTACTAAATTTTTGACTTGGGGAATTATCTTTAAAAAAAAAAACAGATTTTATTTTTGATTTTTCTCCGGCCGCCTGAACAGTCTTAACTGACAGATCGACTGGGATATATATAGTATTTGTAGTACCCATTTAGAATAACCCCATCCTTATTTATCAATCACGAATCCGATGAAACAAAAAATACGTCAATTTCATGTACGTACAAATAGGAAATTCCTAACCTGATTTTATTTGTGTGTCAAGAAGCGAAATACGTTTTGTCACTAGAATGACTGGTACTTCTAAATAGGTATTAAAAATACTACACACGTTCAGTCGAACTGTTCAGTTCTAACTGACAGACCTGCCGGACCGTGTGTAGCCGGCTTTAATTGTAATAAATACAAGTTACAGCGATTTCCATTTGTCGTGCCAGTGCAAAAAAAATATATCCTTATATCCTTACATGTTACATGCTTTTAGAAAAAGATGCAGATACACTCAGTGCGCACTGATTGACAAATAGAAATCGCCATTAGAAAGTAATAACCTTAAACGACACTGGGATAAGTTCAAGTAATACGTAAAGTTACAGTAAATTATTAGTTTGCTCTTTGTCGAATTACACGTTACAAAGAAAGAAGGAACGATTAATTCTGAACTCGTCTCTGAATATGAATATGACGCAAGCCCGTAACAAACTCGATTTTCATTGGACGGAAGAATTTGCTGCTTTGCCAAACTTGATGGAAACAATAATAAACAAGTTGATGGCATATTTTTTTTGCAATATGAGCATGTGTAGTACACTTGGCCAATCATAAAACTGGTACGCATTTTCATATTGCGTTGTATTGTGTAAATCGAGCTTCTTTATCACCTCAACAATGACAAAAAAAGTCAAATCAGTGTCATATTTAAACCAATCATAACATAAAAACATGTTGTATTTACTTTTGTTCAGCTATGACGTTGACAAAAACAGTCTGACTTAATGTCTGCCCAGCGACTCTGTGTCTACGGGGCAACGGTAAGGGGAATGCAGTTGTAAAAAAAAATGGCTGATTTCATTCATAAAATACCCAGCTGCGTGCGGAATTTTTTGGAAGTGTTATCGTATTGCAACTACTACACGAAAACCGCCAATGACCAAACCCCCGCCACTGGATATTTCAATATAAATCAATCTTCCAAGATGGGAGGATAAAATGACGGAAGCCTTGGCCAATAGCGAGACGTAAGGTGACGTTAGCTTATTGACAACGGCATGATTCACCGTGGCAACGGCCATCCTGCCAAAAGCTCCACCAATCAGGTTCATCCAGGCCGGATGCTTGCCAAATTGTCAAAAACTAATGGTATCTTTAGAAAATTTATCATTTTTTACAATGGATAAAATTGAAGAAATCAGTTATTAGAATAAGAATAGATCTAACAAC